TCTGATTATGACAAATTAAATTTAGGTGGATCTGCATTGTATGTCGAGTCTACCTTGGAATCGATTTTATCTAAATCGTCATCGCCCTCACTTTCTAAAACTGGACAGATGGGTGATGTAATGAAAGAATCCTCCACAATTGCATATACATTTGCTAAAAGTTTAATGGCAATGCGCTATTCAGAAAACAAATTTTTCGAAAAAGCGAAGATTCATCTGCACGTGCCAGAAGGAGCAACTCCGAAAGATGGTTTGTCTATATTATAGAACTCGTTTCATATCGTTTATTAAATAAGGTTCCGTTCTTTATAAACTTTTGTTTTGATGATTAGGTCCTTCTGCTGGTATTACAATGGCAACATCTCTTCTTTCTCTTGCACTTTCTAAGCCGTTGGATCCAACTATAGCAATGACTGGTGAACTTACACTAACCGGTAAAGTTTTAAAGATTGGTGGTCTTCGTGAAAAAGCTGTAGCTGCAAAAAGGTCAGGTGTGAAAACTTTAATATTTCCGGAAAGCAACACCAGCGATTGGGAGGAATTGCCAGAAAATGTTAAGGAAGGTCTAGTGGGTGTTCCAGTTGCCTGGTATGATGATGTATTTAAGGTCGTGTTTGGTGATGTAAGTAGCGATGAAGCAGAAAATGCTTGGACTTCAATGATCAAATCAAGTTCATATCTGATTGATGACAAAGAAAACGGCGCAAAGTCGGACTTTAAAAACACAGTCTAAGGGATAACCTTTATTCTGTTAAAGAACAATCTGAAATAATTTCTTGTTAATTTAATTTGAACAAAAATGATCATTCTTAAATGCTTTGTAATTTGATAATTCATTGCATAAACTAGTTAGTTTCAAATTAGAATAAAAAACTTAATAAAGATTTACATGAAATATTTTTTTTTATAGTAAATGAAATCTTTTATTTATTTATTCCAATTTGATTTAATGATTTATAACTTTGGTTATCAAATCATTTCATAGTAGAAATTTTGCTTATTATAAATACATATTTTATGGTTTAGCTTTTTAAATATATAATTAAACTTGATATTTTATATATTTTTTTTAAAATATTTCATTTTTAAATTTTTTATATAATTCTAAATTTATTGAAATTTATATTTATAAAAAACATTTAAATTTAAAAACAAAATTTATTATTAAAACTTTTTAGCAATTAAATTTTGTTAAACTTAATAATTTTTTATATTAAAAGTTTATATAAATAATAAATATTAATAATATTTATAAAATTATTAAATTAACAAAAAAAAAAATATTTCAATATTAAATAAATTTTATTAAGTTATAAACAAAATTTTATTTGAATTATTCTTGCTTTTATTAATAATTTAATACTTTATATATATTATATTAATTTTTTTTTTTGGTCAACCAACTGGACCTTGTTATAATGCACTTTATTATTTAGAGTCACATGTGTATTTCATGTATTACAGAAATTACTATCTATGATCTAACTACAATGTTGCTTAACTATATCAATTTTATTCCATATTGGCTTGTTGCTATCAATAAGAATCCTAATGATTCTTTTTGATTCTGTATTCGATTCTTAAGTTTATATTAAATTTAATAGGTAGAATATATCCTATCATTATTTTTAATAGTGTTTTAAACCTCATGTGATTCCTTGTAATTCTGTTCGATTCCAATTTTTAGAACTATAACTATTGGTATAGTCTACAAGAGATAAATACTAAAGTTAACATGCCAAAGCCCTATTGGGTTTTTGTATAAAATTAAGAGAAAGTTAAAATATAGCACACTGAGGTAATATCTATCTTGAGTGAATAGAATCCTGTTGAAGAAATCTTTTATATCCTATGTTATACCAACTCCTAAGTTATCCAGACAGTTAGGATCTTATATTGACTAATTGCCTATAATGTTGATCTAACTGCAACTGTTTAACTTGAAAAAGCAACTGTCAAAACAGTTCTAAAAAAGATCTTCATAATTGTTTTTATAGGAAGAGACATCCAGATATCATAAGAAAAGATTACCAAACCATCATTACTTGAAACCAAACTCTTTCTTCACATTTTTTTAACCATTTTTCAACGATTATCATAGCATCAATCAAATGATTGTTATACTATAACTTCTTTTATAACTAAGTTATAATCTCAATGCTTACTGAATCAATATGTAAATTGATTTCTTATAAAAAACAATACTTAACAGGTTATGGCACCAGATATTATTTTTAATCTAATTCAATTGTCTCTATATGAAGTTGAACTGATATCTTGTGATCTGACTTGTAGAGTGCTAATTATTACATTATTGATCTACAGATCATATACTGTATATTATATTAATATATTGTATAAAGTTTATTATATATTAATAAATTTATATTAAAATCTAATTTAAATTATTTAAATATATTAATTTGTTATAATTGAATTATCTAAAAATAAAAATTTCAATTAATATTTCAAAGTTTTATTAATTTGTATTAAAATTTTTTCAAATTCTATTTGGTTTTATTTTTATTAAAAAAATTAAAAAAAAAATTTTTTTAAAGTAATATTTTTATTTGATAAATAAACTTTATTTTAAACTGTTTTTCTAATTTATTAAAAATTGTTTTTTATTATTACTTATAACTAAACTAATTATTTAATTTTTGTTTTTTTATTTTTTATTTAAAAATATTTATAATATATTTTTGAAGGAGTTTTTCCTAATAAGTAAACATTATTTCTTTATTTGTTATTATATATTGTAGGTATATATTGAGAAAGAAACAATATCTCTTGGGTGCATATTGCATACAACAAGTTAAATGCTAGCTTGCCTACTTGATCACTATCTAACTAATATTGTAAAAAAATTTTAAAAACAATATTAAAATGTTAAATAGCAGAGTAGTGGCTATACCTACCTACTCGACAAAATTTTGTGAAATTTTTTGATTTTTTGAATATAAAATAAATGAAAAGAAAATAACAACAGTGACTAAAACTAAAACTAAGTTGAATAGACTATAAAATTTATAAGTAAAAATCCAATTATTTCTCCAAAAAAGCCACTAGACAAGCATGTAGTCCCATTTCTCTAACTCTTTGGTTACTATAAATAGAAGAGTACACGTGACGTTATTTATTGTTATGGTTATTGTTGTTGTTGTTGTTATGCTAGAAAACTGATTTGGATAGGTTCAGTTTTTTTTTTGTTATTTTGATGAAATCTGATTGGATGATTGGAGAGCAACAATCATTTGGAGGGGTAAACTGATTTTGATTTTTTGAACAAAAAGTTTTGGAAATTTTGAAATGGCGCAGTAATTGTCATCATGATAAGGTTATATGTAAAGGTTGTGTTAAAATAAACAGTAGATCCAATAACTCTGTTTGAGTATGTTTTTTGGAAAGTATTTGACTTAGCGTGTATAATGGTATTGATGTAGATAATTTTTATATTATAATAGATAAAAGAAGGGATGCAAGAGAACAAAAGAAAAGAGAACTGCCATGGGCCTTTCCTTATACAACTGAAGGATAAACAAAACTTCCAAACTTAAATAGACTTTGACCAGAGGTCCCATCCCACTGCACCAGTTGTCTTGAAAGTTCTTGAGTTTTTAAACTAGAGCTCATTTGCGATAAAAAGTGTAAAACATTTTTTCTTGACAAAAATTACTATAAAAGAAAAATTTTTAGCAAAGTAAACATGATTAGGAGAAAGTTTTTTTTTTAATAAATTTGATATTTAAAACTTATTATACAAATATTTTCATAAAAAAAATCTTATTATTAAATTAAAATAAAATTATTTAAATTTATTAATTAAAAGTAAATATTTGTATTGTTTTTTTTTTATTTATTTAACTACTAGAACCTTGTCTCATATGTACGATATTTATTTAATTTATATATGTATTTCTTGTATTATAAAAATTACTATTTATAAATTATTTTAAATTATTACTTGACTATATTAATTTTTTACTTTCTATATTAGCTTATTGTTATTAATCTTATTTTAAGGATATTAGTTAAGATTAATATATTAAAAACTTTATTAATGTTATTATTTTATCTTAAAATAAGTTTTATTTCTAATTATATAATATTTAAGAAAAAATTTGAAAGTAAGAAACTAAAGATAATATTTATTTTTGATAAATAGAACTATTATATAATAGATTGATTGACTAGCTTCCAATTCATGTCATACCCAATCAGCCACAAATCATCTTCCAAAATTAGTTAGGCTGCATGAAGATGGAACCTCT